TGTTCTTCAAGGCGGGGCTGCTGGGGCTGCTGGAGGAGATGCGGGATGAGAGGCTGAGCCGCATCATCACGCGCATCCAGGCCCAGTCCCGGGGCCTGCTCATGCGCCTTGAGTTCAAGAAGATTGTGGAACGCAGGTAAGGCAGGGTGGAAGGGAGAGTTCCCCCAGAGATGTAAGTCAACCAACAAGCAGTACCAGCTACTGTGGGTCAGAAGATCTGGCTTCAGTTCCAGGCTCTACCACTTATTAGCTGGTCTGGGAAAGTTATTTTACCACTCTGGATTCATTTGGAACTCTTTTTAAAAACAAAATTCCCTAAAGGGGTATGCAAATTGTCATTCCAGTGAGATAGCATTTTAAAATACTAGATCAACAAAAGTTAAGAGGTCTTTGGAAAACAATTTATCATTACCTTTTAAACTTGAACAATTATGTACTTTTCAATTTCACTCCTGAGTACATTCCTACAGAGAAACTCCCACACATGTGCACCTTGAGTGTGTCATCCTTGCGCAGGGGCCATGCTAATCTTCTCTGTATCGTTCTAATTTTAGTATATGTGCTGCCGAAGCAAGCACAACACATGTGCACCTTGAAATGAAGAAGGATCTTCATAGCAGCATTGGTCGTAATAGCAAAGATCTGGGAACAACTCAAATTTCCATCCACAGAGGAACAAATAAATATTATTATAGGCATTTGGCAGACTATTATAAAGCAACAAAAAAAGTGGACCACAACTGCATGGTTCAATATGTTTGAACCTGAAAAGCATATTGTTGAGTGAACAAAGCAATTCAGAGAAAGATACATACAGTATGATGTAATTCTGTAAACTTCAGAGATAATAAAAACCAGTAATGCATTTTTAGAGTTACATACATATGTGGTTAAAGGGTTTTTTTAAAAAAAAAAAAGTAAGGAAAGGAAAAACAAGATTCAGAGTAGTGGCTGCTTTTGGTGGGAGGGACCCAAGACAGGTCCAGGGAGGAGCTACAGGTAGACCCAGTGGGTGGTAGTGCTGGATAGTGAGTTCATGGATAGCCATTTTGTATCCATGTTTCATAACCTACATATATATTATAAGTATTCCTACATGTAAAACACCACATAATTTTTGACATATTGAGGTTCTTACGAGAATAGAAAAACCAAACATAGGAGATATTTTATATGTAGGGAAGATATAAATGAAAGATTCCTTTCATTGACATGATTAATTAGTAAATACCTATAGAGTAACTCCATGTTCAGTGATGTTTGGGTTAGGAGTGCATGCAGTGGGTAAGGCTAGGTGATTGGCTCCTAGTGCCGACAAACTTGCTTAGATGGGGGAAGCCAAATGCAGTTGGGCCTGTGATTGGGAAGTGCTCTTACACAGTATCCCTCGCTGCCTCCATGTTACCTTTTAGGGATGCCCTGTTAATAATCCAGTGGAATATTCGGGCCTTCATGGGGGTCAAGAATTGGCCCTGGATGAAGCTCTACTTCAAGATCAAGCCGCTGCTGAAGAGTGCAGAGACAGAGAAGGAGATGGCCAACATGAAGGAAGAATTTGGGCGCATCAAAGAGTCTCTGGAAAAGTCAGAGGCTCGCCGCAAGGAGCTAGAGGAGAAGATGGTGTCCCTGCTGCAGGAGAAGAATGACCTGCAGCTCCAAGTGCAGGCGGTGAGGCCATGTGGCTCTTCAGCTCTCCACTACCCTCCCCTAGATTATAGCCCATCTCACAATTAGGGACTGGGAGTCTAGGAACACCACTCTCTTAAAGATGCTGGGTTTCTCCTCTCTTTCATCTTCTGCTTCCTCGCTATTCTCTTCTTCCAGGAACAAGACAATCTCAATGATGCTGAGGAGCGCTGTGACCAGCTGATCAAGAACAAGATCCAGCTGGAAGCCAAGGTGAAGGAGATGAATGAGAGGCTGGAGGATGAGGAGGAGATGAACGCTGA